GGTTGAGCTATAGGCGTCGAGCCAACCTCAAATTCTTGAGGCAATCCTCTTGCCTCAGTCTCCGGAGTAGCTGAGACTATAGGCACCTGCCATAATGCCCAGCTAGTTTTTTTTTTACTTTTAGTAGAGACAGGGTCTCGCTTGGGCTGGTCTTCAACTCCTGAGCTCAAGCAATCACCTGCCTCGGCCTCCCAGAGTGTTAGGATTACAGGCATGAGCCACTGTGCCCAACCCCAAAATATTTTATTTTAAAATCTGAAAGTGAAAGCCCAGGAAATTTTATGTAGAAGTTGTTTAAATATATAGCAGAACCTCTGTAACTGACCTTCTCCCTGCACTGACCACCTCCTCAGGTCAACCTAATTTTCACAGACTGGACACACACACCACATGTCTGTATCAGCATAGCAGCCCAGTTCCTTATGTTGACGCCTCCGTATGTGGATCAGTTTGTTTTAGTCCTTTGGGTGCTCAATTTATAAAGGTTGTACTGTATGCTATTAATTTTGCATCATTATACCAACACAATTGTAAAATATGCAGAAGTTGCAGTACAGCCCTGCCTCAGTGCAGTTTTATGGGCCAAAACTATATGGGTGTGCGTGGTATTCTGAACAAAGGGTTGTAACTTTGTGCTGGAGGCTGCAGTCAGGAGCCTGAGCAATCACCTGTGGGTATCCTCAGTTTACAGATGAGCCTGGAGTCCAGGGAGTTAAGCGATGGCTACAGAATAGTTGCGGGCAGAACTATTTGTGACATCAGCTGCAAAATGGAAAGCCTTGTAAAAATGCCTCCTCCTTTGGGAGAAAGCCAGGAGGTAGCTCCAGGAATGGTTTTCTGCTGCATTTCCAGAAAACCTGGCTCCGACAGAAAATCATTCAATGTGCAGGAGCCCCAGTCAGTGTTCCTTCCTCAAGCCACATATGAGGAGGGGATTGGACTTCCTGTGCTGCCATCACTGCATCTACTAGGCCCTTTGGTGGGGCCCACAGAGTGTGGAGGGTCAGGACTGTCCCTTGGCTGTCCCTGGGCGAGCTTCTGACTCTGGAGAGGGTCCTGATTTGGGGGAAGCTGCAGGGGAAGGAGATGTCACCTTCCTTAGGTGTTAGAAGACCTGGGCCTTTTACACATCCACTGTCAAGATCTCAGTCACCAAGGCACAGGGTAGGGGCCACTCTGCCTTCCTCCCAACCTCCTCTACCAGGGCAGTTGATCCTCTGGGCACTTCGATCCCCTTCAGGGCTTTCCTAGATGTCTCCATGTCACTCAGATGAGCATGGTGATGGGAGCACACAATGAGGTACTAGACTCCACAGCCTGGGTCCTGGCTGAGCAGGCAGGGTGGGTGAGCACAGCAGGGGACTTCCTGATGCCTTTGGTTTCATTGACCTTGATAGCCTGTCATCTCCACAGTGTCTGGGGGTGTCTTAGAGCCAAGAAGCTGTCCCTGCAGGTGCATCTATGTCTCCATTGCACCTGTGCCTCATCCCAGGCAGATCTCTGTGTGGAAGGAGGGAGGGCAGACAGCCCATAGGTGACCTGTGCTGTGAGGACAGGAGCCCCTTCCCTGGCAGCAGCTCTAGGACAGGGTTCTGGGTAGAAGCAGAGCCCGAAGTGCTGTCCCTGCCTGTGCCCTGTCCCTTGTCCCCTGTCATTCCCAGCAGGCCATGGGCAAAGATATCCCTTGGCAGCCTCACAGGTGCTGTGAGCTGTGTCCTGGTCCCTACCTCATTTCTCTACGAGGGACTTGCTGGGGAGAGGTGTTTAAAGGCAGTTGATAGAGAGGAATCTACCTAGGACTAGATACCCTTTGGGTGACCTTTTTAGTCTGAAAAGAGAAAAGATTAAAAATCTAACAGCTTCCTAATAATCCCAGGGATCAGTTGAAATAAAAATACCTTGTCTAAGCAACCAGCTCCTTGATTCAGCAGTATGCATGGTTGGAAGACCTGCCACAGGCTCAGGGCTTCTCCTCCACTGATTAGGAGAAATGTTGTGATCCTGATTTTATTTAAATTTTTTTTAATTGTAGTGAAATATATGTAATATAGAATTTATCATTTGACCATTTTTTGCCATAATGTTTCTGTTAAATCATAACTGTGTACATTAATGCATTTATGGAGTACAATGTGCTGATTTGATATATAGTGTGGAAAGCGTACATCAAACTGCTTAACCTAAACTTCACCTCACTTATTTGTTGTGGTAAGACATTTATACTCTATTCTTCATAGTTTTGACTTTTACCATTACATTGTACACATTAGGTGAGGTCCCACCAAATGCCCTCCCTCCTCCCAACCTCCTCCCTTCCTCCTCCCCCTCCTCTTCCCTCCTTCTTTCTGGACTATAGTGTGTTTTATCATTCATATGAAAGTATAGGTGATTATATATTGGTTTCATACTAGTATTGAGTACATTGGATACTTTCCCCATTTTAACAATTTTTTTTTTTTTTTTAAAACCAGTGCATATTTTATTTTCAAGGACACATTAAACATCAGACTTTCCCAGCACCACTGTAGCCTCTATGAAGTCTTCATATAGAATTAGGTATATTGGAAGCAAGTTGTTTCTGATTATCAGGAACCAAGACACAACAGCACTAAAGGTAAGAGAGTTTTGTATCCGACATCTTCACAATCAAGACAGCATATTTTACTTTCAAAGTAGACTATACATTTTACCGTATCCTTCAATCCATTAAGGATTCCACTGTAAAATGATCCATGGTAACTCCATGTAATTCTTCTGACATATAATTCACTTCAAGTTAGATGAGGCACCAACTATAAAACATGCATTACCTGAAGTATGCAAGCATGAAAAGTAGAACTCTACAATTTATCTTTTAAGAAAAAGAGTAAGTTCCAGGAGCTTTTTATTGTTTGAATAACAGAACACATAAAATCAGGCAGAGAAGTCCTCAGGAATTGATGGTCACACTGCACTGCTACTTGCCCTTTGGTCCTTCATCTTGTGAGCACTTACCATCTTTTCTTTTAATGATATGAGACACTTTGATCACAAATGCAATGCAAGTGTGAATAAATAAGTGTATTATTAACACTCCCACCCCATGTTCCTTTTTAAATAGAAAAAAGTGCTAAATGTCTCTTCATAGCCTATTTGGCCATAGTTTTAAAAATCTATGCTTTTAAAAACCGATTGTAATTTGATCTTCTGAAATCCTTCTCAAACTATAGCTCATTTTTGTTAAAGAAATCCTGGGAGAGATGTCCTATTGATATTGTCGATAGTCTCCAAAAGGTGAGGATGGTAACTGGGTTGAAGGCAACTGGGAAGGATCTTCAGCAAACTGAGGACCATTAGGAAACTGTGCAGAAGCAAATCTTGTCAACAAGATACCAGCTCCTTCAATTAAAGCTAGAAGAATGCCACCCATTGCAGCTGACCCAACCATGGCCACTGGTCCATTTCTTGCTGCCAGTATGGCTCCTGTTAAGGCACCACTTGTGATGGAGTTCCAGGGATCTTCTTTTCCTCTGACTTGAACCATACTACAGTCAATCATGGAAAACAGACCTCCCCAAACAGCAAAGCTACCTCCCAATTGTGGAGCTCTGGTTTTAATAGCGGTCAAACTCCCTCGTAGTCTGTGGTTTACTCCCACTGGAGAATTTCGAAAACCTTTGATTGCTTGAAAGATACCACCACCAATGGTACCCATCGTAAAGGCCCCACCACAGTCATCCACTATTCGCCAGGGGCAAGGTTCCCGGGCATACTCCTCCATCTTGACCCATTTTAACAATTTTTAAACATACTATTAAGTGGCATTAAGTACTTTCAGGTTGTTTTGTTTCTATAACCACCATCCATCTCCACAAATTTTT